GCCACATTTTCTGGAATAAACTCGACTTCTGACAGCAGTGATCCTGACACCCTTCATATACTCCGTGATTGAAGGAGGGCTCCACCCAATGAGATAATTTCGCAACAGCAAGTAAAATGCTGAAAATCTTCTATCCAGTGGGCTAAGGCCGACCCCAACCTCGTTTGGGGTTGGCCACACCCCCAACCGATTGAAAAGATTCTGGCGGGAAGCTGTCTTTGCACGGGCATGCCCAGTGTTAAGGAGAGGAGGAGGGGATCCAAGATCTCCTTACTTTTTCGGGTAATACATGTAAAATACTGACCGTGGGATCACCAGTATTGCACGGCAGGATTTGGGTCACTCGACTGCCCCACAAACTCGTTTCTATCCTATCTCGTTGCTAGTGGGACCTCGCCCCAGAGTGGCCGGGACTACTTGCCCGGCCGGGTCCAAAAAAAAAAAAAAAAGTTTTTAAATTTATTATTTTAAATTTCCTAAAGAATCTTGATATGACCCTGAGGCAAAAGTTGTTCAGTTTATTTTTCTGCATATTTTATTATTATTGTTATTATTATATTATTATTATTATTTATTTATTTATTTATTTATTTTATTTTTTATTTTTTTTTGGGACCTTTTATGGTCCTTGCACGGCCGGGGAGCCCAGGCAAACAAGTTGATCCGGGCGGTCCGGCTGGTAGCCTAGGTGACATCCATTAAAGTTGGAACCATACAGACAAGATTAGCATGGCCCTGCGAGCAAGAAGAAAAAAGAAAAAAAAAAGAAAAAAAAAAGGAAAGGAACAAAATAAGAAAAAGAGAAAAAAAGGTGTTACCATGATGATTGTTGTCCTGTTCAATAGAAAATGTAGTGGTGCACGCCTTTTGCGTTGCACTTTGAAGACGGTAGGTTTCGAACCCATGACCTGCTACCGAACGTGCAGGTTTTGGATCTGGTTACTGCAAAGTGCAGCGCCCGGGACTGCAGGGCTAGGCCCAGGCGGACCATACGGATGGACCTGGCTGCTGGCCACGCTTTGGGCACAACTGCCTGCGCGGATCATACAGATCGTAGCAGATAGTGACAGTGCAAAAGTGGGCGTATCAGGATGAGGGAGGGCCAGCACTACTTTTAGAGTAGAGCTGGGCCAGTGGTTGACGCATTGGGTTCTTCAGGCATGGAAGCCACCAGGCTGCTTGAGAGCAGCGCTGGCTCGTGGAGGACTGACCCGTGACCAGAGGGGGGGGGG